AACCCGGGAGATGGAGCTTGCAGTGAGCTGAGATCCGGCCACTGCACTCCAGCCTGGGCGACAGAGCGAGACTCCGTCTCAAAAACAAAAGAAAAGAAAAGAAAAACAAGCAAATAAAAAACAAAAAATAAGACAATGTGGGTTTCCTTGCTGGGCATCACGCAGCGTTCCTCTGACTGGTGAGCCCCTCTGCTTTCCCACCGTCCTGGGTCCTCCCCCCCGCCCCCGTTCAAGCCTCATGTTTGTACTCCACTGCAAGTGAGCATCCTGGGAGCAGGGGCTCCTCAAATGCCCCCTCACCCCCTGTTGGGGTCTGGCCGGGCTTGGGTGCCCTTATCTTCACCCAGTGCATGTTACAGCGTGGGCTTGAATGATTTCACCTATAAAATGTTGACATAAAGGCCAAATCTAAACTTCGATTCATTTAATGCAAATAAAAGCCCAGTAAATCTTGTTTACCTGTTTTCCCGAGGAAGGAGAGTGTGTGTTTATCTCCTCTGTCTGGCTCTGCAAGGCTCTGGTCTGCACTAGAGGCAGAGTCCCTTCCTTGCTGGCCTGACTGATCAGACACTGGCCTCTTGGTGTCCAGGCCCCCTCCTGAGGCCCGTGGGGGAGAGTGAGCACAGGGTGGGGTGAGTGTGAAACCACCGCCCTTTGGAGTCAATATCCTGGGAACATCTGGACCTCATTAACGAGATTAAACTGAAGATTTCCTAAAGACTGACATTTTATTTATCTACCATCTTGAATCTCTAAGAGGGCTCAGCTGGGCACAGTGGGATTGAAAACCAACCTGCGAAGGGACCACTTGATTACTGTCTTGTTACAGGGGTGTAAAAGAAGGTTCACGACGGCTGTCTCCGGTGGTGGTTTATGGATTGTTTAATTTTCTGTTATGTTTTCTATATTTTTAAAAATTGTAATAGTAATATGTATTATCTCTGTTGTCACAAAAGTAATAAAGGTGATTAAATGCAATATCTGAAGTGCAATCAATGACTGGTGACGTTGGTGAATTGGTTTGAGAATGAAAACATCCCTCCAGCTTCCTGATGGCCACAAATCCCTGATGTCAGGCCCAGGGAGTTGCCGCTCTCCTCTTCTGCCATCCTGGCGGTGGCTCCCATGGCACCAGGGCAAAGGAACAAGAGATGTGGTGGTTACTTCTATACCATCTGAATCCACCTGGGTAGCAGGGATGGTCAGGGTGAACAGGCTGGTTTTTCAGCGGAAACCAATCTATACACAATGTGACTATTCTCTACTTGAACGAAAAATAGGTTTTAAAGTTTAAGTGGTCACTGCAAAGGATAACAATTATTTCAATATATCTGGTATCGGCCAGTATGATGGTTAATATTGAGTATCAACTTGACTGGATTGAAGCATGCAAAGTATGGTTCCTGCATGTGTCTGTGAGGTTGGTTCCAAAGGAGGTTAACATTTGAGTCAGTGGACTGGGAGAGGCAGGCCCATGCTCAATCTGGTGGGTGCCATCTAATCAGCTGCCAGCAGCCAGGATAAAAGCAGGCAAAGGAACGTGGAAGGACTAGACTGGCTAGGTCTTCTGGCCTCCATCTTTCTCCCATGCTGGATGCTTCCTGCCCTCAAACATCAGACTCCAAGTTCTTCAGCTTTTGGACTCTCGGACCTATACCTGTGGTTTGCCAGAGGCTCTTGGCTTCCCTACTTTTGAGGTTTTGGGACTCGGACTGGCTTCCTTGCTCCTCAGCTTACAGACAGCATATTGTGGGACGTTATCTTGTGATCATGTGACTCAATTCACCTAATAAACTCCCGTTCATATATCCATCTATCCTATTAGTCTTATCCTATTAGTCTTCTAGAGAACCTGGACTAATAGAGCTGGCATTTTATTTTTATTTTTTTTTGAGACAGGGTCTCACTCTGTTACCCAGGCTGGAGTGCAGTGGTGTGATCACGGCTCACTGCAACCTCGACCTCCCAGGCAATCCTCCCACCTCAGCCTCCCAAGTAGCTGGTACTACAGGCGTGCACTGCCATGCCCCACAAATTCTTAAATTTTTTGTAGAGATGGCGGGGGTTCACTATGTTGCCCAGGCTGGTTTTAAACTCCTCGGCTTAAGCAATCCTCCCTCCTCAGCCTCCCCAAATGTTGGGATTACAGGTGTGAGCCACTGCACCTGGCCAATTTTCTTAAAAACACATAAGCTGAAAAGAACTTTATATCATAGAATTAGGTTGTAAACCTATTAGGGGCAGGCGCCATGCCTTTAGTTTTGTTTGTATCATTTCTCTGGTCACTATACCTCCTCCCCAGCACCTGATGCATGGGTATGAATCCTTCTGCAGGAAAACCTGGGCAGCAAAACCTCCATTTAGGAAACCTAAGTCAATATATTTAGGTTTTGTAAATACAAAAGCCAAAATTTGCATTCACAAAAAAGATTTACAAAAAGGTTTCTTCAAATAGTGAATTTCTCTGCATCATTTAAAATGAATAAATGAATAAACATTTATTCACAAATGTTTATGTTTACAAGCCCATTTTGGTTATTTTCTTGACATAAATCATTTTACACTTGAACAAAGATTGGCTATTGAAAAAATGGAAAAGATGAAAACCAAGTAAGCCTTTTACAATTAAGACTGAATGAATGTAAGCATTATTCCTGGTTGTTTCAAAATTACATTAAAGGCTGAGTATAGTGGCTCACACCTACAATCCCAGCACTTTGGGAGGTCGAGGTGGGAGGATTTCTTGAGTGCAGGAGTTTGAGACCAGCCTGGGCGACAGAGCAAGACCCCTGTCTCAAAAAAAAAAAAAAAAAAAAAAAAAAAAGGGAAAAGAAAAAAATTATATTAAACAAGATAGTCTGTTTAAAGCAGCTAGTACAATGCCTGGCATATAGTAAGCACTCAAAAAAATTAGCAGCTTTTATTAGAATACTTTTAGAAAATGAGTTTGGAAAATCTCAGGCTATTTTTTAGCACAGTATTATTTCACATCCTCACACTGGATTTCAGTCATTTGAGAGCCAATCAACCAACATTTACAGAGAATCTATGTGCCAGGCATTGTTCTGGACACTAAGGATATGAGACTTTAACAATTATCCAATTCAACCCATCACTTTACCAGGAAAAAAACCAAGGCACAGAGAGGATGAAGTGATTTGTTCATGGTTAGTATGCCGCTAAATAGCAAAGTTGAATGCTTTTTCTACTATCTCTTTTCAAATAGCAGCATTTGATAAATGCATGTAGACTTGACAATCTATTCTCCAGGAGGCTAAACGAGGCCATTTTCCTCTGATGTGGTGTGAAATAAGTCCACCAATCTGACACTCGCTTTGAAAAGTAAGATTTTCCTCCCCTAGAATATGGGCTGGCCTTAGTGACTCATTTCTAACAAACAGAAAAATGGTAGAAGTGACAGTGTACACCTCTAGAGACTAGGTCATGAAAGGCCCTGTGGCTCCCTGCTTACTTGCCCTGGAGGAAGCTAACTGCCATATGTGAGGACATCCAAGCAGCCTGTGGAGATGCCCATGTGGCAAGGAGCTGAGGCCTCCAGCCAAGAGCCTTGTGAATGAGTCAGCTTAAAAGTGGAGCCTGCAGCCCCACTCAAGTCTTGGGATGACCACAGGCCTGCTTGACTACAATCTCGTGAAAGACCCTGAGCCAGAACCACTGGGCTAAACCACTCCCAGTGTCCTTACCTCATAGAATGTGTGAAGTAATAAACATTTATTGTTTTAAGCTGCTAAGTTTTGGGGTAATTTGTTACGCAGCAATAGAGAGCTAATACTCTCTCTCAGTGTCACTTTGTTTTCACTCCTACCCTTCCTTGACCTCCCTCTAATACCTTATTTTATAGTTTATATTCGTAGGGCAATGACTGACACTTTTTTTAGTTCTAAAATTTTTACTATATTTATTTATTTAACAGCTTTACTGAGATATAATTTATGTACCATAAAGTTGGTTGACACATTTTAAAAACTGTAATAAAACATAAAACTTACCATTTTAACCACTTTAAAATATACAATTCAGTGGCAGTAATTGCATTTATGCTGTTGTATAACCATGACCACTATCTAGTTCCAGAACTTTCTCATCACCCCAAATGGAAGCCCCATACAATGGCTGACACATTTGAAAAGATTAATTTTATTTTGTCTCCCAAATCTGGAACAATCACGTAGTAACAAAGAAAAATGAGCTCACAATTAAATAAGCAAAACCTTCCGTAGAGGTAAAAAAATGTGCCGGGCACAGTGGCTCACACCTGTAATCCCAGTGCTTTAGGAAGCCGAAGTGGGTGGATCACTTGAGGTCAGGAGTTTGAGACCAGCCTGGCCAACACGGTAAAACCTCATCTCTACTAAAAACACAAAACATAGCCAGGCGTGGTGGTGTATGCCTGTAATCCAGCTACTGGGGAGGCTGAGGAAGGAGAATAGCTTGAACCTGGGAGTTAGAGGCTACAGTGAGTGGAGATTGCATCACTGCACTCCAGCCTGGATGACACAGCAAGACCCCATCTCAAAAACAAAAACAAAAACAAAAACAAAATTGGAAAGAAATAACAATATTTCTAACAACAATATATCAATCTTTTCACATTCTTACATAGAATCAGAGAATCTAATGAGATACATTCTACTATGGATAAACCAAAATCTCAAGTACTTGCTTTACAAAAAATTAGTCTTCAAAACTCTTTTGAAGTCCACTGGGTGCAGAACATCCCCCATTGTGTCCGGCAACCAAGGAACTAGAACTGGAGATAGCTGCTGGGAGGATGGCAGCAATAACAGATAGGTGCCCTGTAGCAATGGCCTCCTACAGCTACCTACACCCAGCCTTGGGATTCGGAGGATGCAAAAGGAACATCTGGGCTCAGTTATTTCATGCTATCAGCCATACGCTTCCAAGTGGGAGGTGATGGCAATTTGGCCAGCTGTTTGCCAACCCAGGAGTTGGGTAAAGGTTGGTAAGAGATGTTATTAGTTCTAGCACCATTTCCTTCCAATAGTCTCATTTTAATACAATACAGGTTAGTAGTGACCAGAAAATATTGCTACTGAATTGAAGGATGACTATACAGGGACCTATATCAGATTATTTGTTGCTTTTAGTTGCTAGTGTCCCATAAAGAATAGAAATGGAAATTGCTGACAAGAGAGTACCTCTGGTAGGCACAGTTCCTTTTCTCCCCGCACTGGAGAGGACGCTACAACCTTGCTGTAGAGTGTCCTGTGACTGCCCAGTGATGTAGATTATGCTCCTACCCCAGGAGGGGCAGTTTGAGAACCGAAAATCAACAGTTGGAAGACATTTATATTACCTCCATATTCAGCTCATTGGACTAGCATCTTTCATGGTGTGAGACTTTCTCATTTACTCATTTGTCCGTTTATTCATTTGTTTTAAAAAATGAGGCCAGGCATGGTGGCTCATGCCTGTAATCCCAGCACTTTGGGAGGCCAAGATGGGAGAATTGCTGGAGCCCAGGAGTTTAAGACCAGCTGGGCAACATAGGGAACCTTGTCTTTTCGAAAAATAAAATTAGCTGGGTGTGGTGGTATATGCCTGTAGTCCCAGCTATTTGGGTGCCTGAGGTGGGAGAATCACTTGAGCCCAGGAGTTCGAGGCTTCAGGGAGTTGTGACTGTACCACTGTACTCCAACCTGGGTGACAGAGTGAGATCCTGTCTCAAAAAGATACAAAAAATTAAAAATAAAATAAAACTTAAAAAATGTATTGAGTGCCTTCAGGCAGTGTTCCAAGCATTGGTGAACAAAATGGTGGGGCGAATGCAGAAAAGAATATCATTTTTGCACATATTTATCTGGGTTTGACACTCTTGAGCTACTATGGGCTGTTCCACATTAGTAAGACATTAGTGGGATTGAGAAAGAGCTGCAGGTCAAACTGTGCATCCTCTTTCCCAGACCCCAGAACCTCAATACAAGCAGTAAAACAGAGAAAAAGAGGACTGTGGGTGTGCCCTCCTCTGCTTTACCAAGACCCAGTATCCCAGACACTGGCCACTTGCTTTTTCATATTGTTTCCTGAGATTTCTTCTCACTGCTAGTAAATAGCAGTGCAAGTCTTAATACATTATGAGATAAAGCCACAATCACGATGACTAACTCCATGCAACATAGGAAAAGCCTCACTGAACAGATGCCATGAGCCAAGCATCTACCACCCAGCCCTCTTAGTGTCTACCATGAACATCCTCACAGAGCAACTCCACCGCCTATTACAGGGAGGCCTCTAGCTTCAGCCCTAGCGGCAAAAGTAAGGCAGGGCTCAGGAGCATTCCAGAAATCAGGGGTGCTTAGGTAGTGAAGCAAAGTGGCCTTCCCAGGGATAGGACAGTGAGGTCAAAAGGAAGGGCAGGAAAAGCCACAGAAGAACTGGAAGTGGCAGAAGTCTAGACAGAGTGAGCAATGGCTGGGGAAAAATAAATTAGGATAAAAACACATTTCTTTATTGTAAAAGCCACAATCAAGGTGGAAGCATTTTGCTGTTGACCTGAACAACAAGATGGGCTTTATGCTCTGTGATGAGAGAAGCTGAGTAAGGGGCGAACCAAGAGGGGTGGTTCACATGGAGTGCCTGAACATGATCCTTCACCGACAGGGAGAAGCCTTGGCCAACAGAACCATTAATAATGGTCTGCTGCCTTCATTTGTGTAAGAAATGTGATTCACTCCAATAAAACCGGCTATTGGCAGACAGGAATCGAACGTCTGACTTGTGAGGCTAAAAGAGCCAGCTGTTCCAGCCTCCAGGACTCAGTGAGAACTTCCTATTTCAAGTTAAGTTCCCAGCTGTCCCACAGCTTAGAAAAGTGGGATAAACCCAGCCACCCCCACCTCTAGACACATGCTCCAGCCAACAGCAGGAGTGTTGCAGATTTTATCAGCTTCTTAAATGCATTAGGGGTTGAAATTAGACACCTCGGTGTGGTTTAAGAGCAAGAGAAGGGCCAAGTGAACTCAGGTTGGGATAACAAATGAGACAAGAGTCATGAGGAAAGGTCTGAGGTCCAACTTCCAATTGAAAGGTTTTCGAGCCTCCCTGAAATCCTACATCCAAGGGCCCCACACCCCAGTGGCCTTGGGGTCACAGCGGGGGTCCTGTGCAGGGAAGTACACGGGCACTGAGTGTTTATGGTAGAACTGTAGGCGGGACAGGAGCTTTGTGACGATGTGAGGATATTCTCTGGACAGGTCATGTCTTTCTTCAGGGTCCCGATCAATATCAAAGAGCCAGAGGGTCTTGGTTGGTGGGTCTGATGAGGGTATCTCAGAAACATTGTATTGAGACGGTGGAGGGAACCAGTAACCACAGCCTAGCAAAGAAAACAAAACCGTTTACTGAGGGAGAAGCACAGAGGCAGGTTCTAATCTCAGGGAAGGAGTCTGAGGCCAAGGCTGCACTGGGTCGTGGGTGTGGACACACAAAAAGATGTGGCCTTACATGCTGTCTCTAGATGCTTCTCAGACTTGACTTCTGGTGCTTTAACTAGACATGTCTCACTGCTTCACAAGCAAGGACACCCAGAAATGTGTGTGCATGTGTGTATGTCCTTGTCACAAGGACTGGGGCATGGGGTGCTGCTGGCATTTAGTGGGCATGAGCTAGTGGTGTTAATGTCTTGCAATACATGGGACAACCCCAGTCAAAAAAGACTTGTCTTATTGCAAATGCCAAGAATGTTCTCATTGGAAACATTGATTAATTACATCACAGGCTTAACCATCATCCCACATATTTTAAAAGTATTGAAAAGATGTTACTCTTAGAGAATATAATCAAGGGAGCAACCTCCTTCCCCAGCTATACCACTGGTTGAGGGTGTAGCTCTCAGAGACTCTCTTTGCCAGCTAAATGTGTTGTGCTTGATAGCCACACATATTTCAAATCTGTATTTTCCATGAAGCATAAGAGTGACATTTATTCCTTTCACCCCTGCTACAGTTAATTCTCTCTCTTTCTCTCTCTCTCTCTTTTTTTTTTTTTGTTAGGATGAGTAGGTTAAACCATTCCTTCTTATAATTTCCTCATTCAGCAGCCCCAGAGATACGTTTTGCAAAAGGCAGTTGTTACTTTGGTAAGCTTCTCCTTGATGATCCATTGGGAAAGCTTACTTGCACCATGACAACAATGGAAACTGTAACTGGGAACAGGCAGTCTTAAAAGTGGGAAAAGAAAACCCTGAATAAATAGTTGTCTTTCTAGGACATATATCAGGAGGGATCATGAAAGATTAGAAAGACAAGTTAAGGTTTCAGGAATCTGAGCAAAGTGAGGTGAGTGGTAGGGCTTAGGAGCCTTGAGGAGGAGCCACAGAGGAAGAGGTGGGAAATGGTTAGAACAAGAGTGATAATGTCCTCTCTTTCCAGAGAAATGGCAGTGGGAATAAAAACCCAGGAGTGCAGACAGACTGGAGATACTGCCCTGAGGACACAGCCCTGTGTTGTCTACCCCGGGAAGCGAAGTTTGCTAAGCTAAGCACTCTACCTGGGTAGCCCGTGAGGAGTTTCCAATTTCCATGTCTAATTGCAGCATGGACAGATGTGTTAAAGGCTGAATATTCTGGAAGAGAAGAGCTATCCTTTGCTGGAGCCATGCTGTTCCCAGGACCTGGGAAGAAATAGTTTGAAAGACTTAGATCGCTGTTATTGGAACGTGTCGTTATAAATCAGCATTTTATACTCTTGCAGAACAGTAGCTTTTATTCAACACTGGAGTGCAAATGTGTATCTTGCCACAGAAATGAATCTTTTATTAAACCCAAACAGAAAGCTATAGTTACATGAAATGTCAGTCATAAACCACCGCAAATATAAAGAAAATCCCAAAGAGATTACAACACTAATTCATCCTTAAAATCGCCATGTTCTGCCAATGTACAGCTAGCCATATGCAGAACAGTGTTCTGTTACAGCAGGGTGACTTTTTTTTTGGTTTTTGTTTTTGGCTGTTAAAAATTTAAGTACATTTTCTGTGTGTGCTTATACTTACGTAAATAGTATAAGAAATTATAAAATGTGCATTTTAATGCAGTCATTTCAAGCTATGAGAGTTCATGCATGCCATGATAGAGTACAAAGATTTATTTTTTAACAACTCTTATGAAATCTAAAAGTGAGCAGTGCTCAGTTAACTATTCAGATAGGATAACTATGGGGGTAAGAATAAATGTGGTATACAAATTTTTGGCTGGTATCATGGATTATATTAATTTATCATGTTTGAGATCTTATATTAATTTATCATCAGGTTGGTTTTTTGCTTTTGTGGGGAGCAATTACTAATCTCTACCCCCTCTTAAGTTTGAAACGAATTAAGAGGTAGAGGATAAACAGATGGAACAAAAAACATTGCTTTTGTTACTGACAAAATCGATTGGAGAGAATATGGCTTCAGCTCTGTGGCAGAGTGATCTTGTCTGTAATTGACCCTTGACTTAGAAAGACTTAACCCTCATCGTTGATCTTGCTGAACACCCATTGGCCTCCCTTAGAGCACACAACTGAGAGCAGACCAGAGTGCTTACATATATCCAGGTGACAGGCTGGCTGGAAATTGGACCCAGCAAAAAGGGTCTGGGTTGAGCATGCTCAGTTCCTCCTTTTGAATAACTTCCTCCTTTGCCTGATTATGAAAGGAGTGAACAAGGAGAGAGTTCTACTCTTGCCGAAGACCCTGGTGGGTCCACGAGGGCCCTCACCTCACTCCTACCTATGCATATGGTAGGAGTGAAAAACATATAGCCTGTTTTAAGCCCACATTTATCTGTTAGCTTTGCAAATATGGTCATGGCAATCATCTTGGGATCACTTCGAAAGGTTGCTGAACCGCCAGCCTAATAATTAATTGTCATAATATGTGAAATGTCTGTAAACGTATAGACTCCACTGGAGTGGTTAACCCATCCGTCTGCCTTCCTTTGATAATAGACATTGAGAGAGCCCTCATCCTCACCCAAGCAGGGCTTCTGTGCTCCTGGGGTTTTCATGCGGGTGTGTCGGTGGTGGAAAAGGTGGGATGTGCCATTCTTTTGACAGTCGTTTGGAAATGACCTTGTAGAGACAAGCTGGAGACGGATCCAGCAAACACTGGTGCTTTCAGAGCTTCAGTCTCAATAATCACACAGCAGCAAATCTTTAGCACCAAAGAGGAAAATATTTTTGACTTCTTATTTCTCTGCTTGTGGATATTTTGGCTCCAATACAAACAGATGCTTCTAGTACTTGAGGTGCATGATGATGACTATCACAGGAAGTGGTTGCTAACATACAGACTGCGGTAAAACCGTGAACCCTCATGGTTTACTCCTCACAAGTTTGTATGAAGGCTACATTTTGATACCAAAGAATGTTAAATAAAACAAGCATGTTTTGTGAACATAAACAAAAAAAGGAAATTTAACTATCTCATCTATACGTATATTTATACACATTTTTTTTCTTAAAACAAACAGGAACATAAAATACCTAAACAATAAATAAGCCTAAGACTAAACTATGAAAGATACTATTATCTTGACTTTATTGTTTTCATTTTGAGAAATTAAACAAAGGGAAAATTACAAAGACTAACATGACTAATACCCTCTGAGCCATCACCCAAAATGAACAGATGTTAACATTTTGCCATGTTTGCTTTTTTTTAAAAAAAAATAAAAGAAACTGGACAATAAAAATGAAGTGGAAGTCTCCTTTGTTCCTATCCTCAAACCCTGTCCTTTCATTTACTCCTCTAGAAGCTGCTACTATTGTGACTTCAGTCCATCCTCCAGCCATTTTAAAATGCAGAATACATATGTGCCAAGGGATAATCAATAGTACTATTTTATGCTTTAAAAATGTATGTGTGTGCTGTTGGTGGGAGTGTAAATAAGTAAAGGTATTACAGAAGACAGTATGGAGGTTCCTCAACAAATTAAAAATAGAACTAACATACAGTGCAGTAATCCCATCACTAGGTATTTATCCAAAGGAAAGGAAATCAGTATACCAAAGGGATACCTGTACCCCATGTTTATTGCAGCACTATTTACAATAGTCAAGATATGGAATCAACCTAAGTGTCCATCAATAGATGAATGGATAAAGAAAATGTGGTATATAGACACAATGGAATACTATTCATCCATAAAAAAGTGTTTGTTGGTAAAGCCATCTAGGCCTAGAGTTTTCTTTGTGGGAAGGTTTGAAATCATTGATTTAATTTCCTGAGCAGGTATAGGACCATTCAGATCTTCTGTTTCTCCCTGTGTCAGTTTTGATAACTTGTATTTTATTAGGAATTTGCGTAATACATGCGAAGTTTTGGAGCATCTGTAGTAATATTGCCTATTTATTCCTGATATTGGCAACTCATGCTTCTCATTTTTTTCCAAGATATATTTTCCTAGTGTTTAATTGATTTTATTAGTTATTAGTGTTTTGTTTTTTGTTTTTTTTAGATGGAGTCTTGCTTTGTTGCCCAGGCTGGAGTGCAGTGGCACGATCTTGGCTCACTGCAATCTCTGCCTCCCGAGTTCAAGCAATTCTCCTGCCTCAGCCTCCCGAGTAGCTGGGATTACAGGCGTGTGCCACCATGCCCAGCTAATTTTTTGTATTTTTAGTAGAGATAGGGTTTCACCAGGTTGGCCAGGCTGGTCTGGAACTCCTGACCTCATATCTGCCCGCCTTGGCCTCCCAAAGTGCTGGGATTACAGGCGTTGAGTCGCCGCACCCAGCCCGATTTTATTAGTCCTTTCAAACAACAAACTTTTGGCCTTGTAGATCCTACCTGTAGTATGTTTGTTTTCTATTTCATTAACTCCTTTTATTTTTATTATTTCCCTCCCTTTAGTTTCTTTGGGCTTAATTTGTTATTCTTTTTATAACCTTTTGAAGAACAGATACTCAACATTTTCATTTCCAATACATACATTTAATACTATGAATTATCCAAGCACCAATGTAAAAAATATGTAGTCTGAAATTGTTGGTTTCAATGCTCTGTATATCACTCAGGTCAAGTTTGTTAACTATGGTTTTCAAATCTTTCAGATCTTTATGGTCATTTTTGTTTGTCTGCTTGTTTTATCATTTACTGAGAGAGGTATGTTAAAAATCTCTCCTATGACTGACAATTATTTTGAAAACTCCCTCTTTAATTCTAATAATGCTTTCCTCCTTTAAATCTACTTTGTCTGATGTATAGATAACCCAGTTTTAGCTGCCATTGTGGCTGCTGTTAGTACTTGCATAATATATTTTTTCCATCCATCTGTCAACATGTGTGAGACTCTTATGCAATAGAAAGAAGTATAAAACAGGGTGTGATACGCAGGATAACGGTTCCCCACAATGTTAACATCCTAATCTCCCAGAACCTATGAATACGTTACCTTCCATGCCAAAAGGGACTCTGCAGATATGATTATAGGTAAGACCTGTAAGATGTGGGGATTATCTTAGATTTATCTGGGTGGGCCCGATCTGATGACATGAGTTCATAAATGCAGGGAGTACTTCTTGATTATGGTCAGAGGGAGATGTGGCCACAGAACAAGGGCCAGAGAGCTGGCAACTTTTCCTTCTAATCAATATGGAGACATAAGAGGAATTTAAATATATTTTTTAAAGAGTGTATCATATAGTTCACGCATGATCAAATTCATCCATTTTTAGTGTAAAATTCCATGGTTTTTAGTATGATATATTCACAAAGTTGCATAACCATCACTGTAACATATTTTAGAACATTTTTATCACCCCAGAAAGAAACCCTGCACCATTAGCAGTTAATCCCCATTTACTCCCACACCCTGAAGCCCTAGCCAACCCTTAACCCATTTTGTGTTTTGGATTTACCTATTCTGGACATTTTATATAAACAGGATCAGACAATATGTGGCCTTTTGTATCTGGCTTCTATCACTTGGCATAATGTTCTCAAGGTTCATCCATTTTGTAGCACGTATCAGTACTTCATTCTTTTTAAATAATAATATTCCTTTCATTCCTGTATATTGCCAAAAATATGCCACATTTTCTTTATTCATCAATTAATGGACACTTCTTAGTTTATACTTTTTGGCTACTATGAGTAATGCTGCCATGAACATTCATGTACAATTTCAGTGTGGATGTATGCCTTCACTTCTCTTGGGTATATAACTAGAAGCAGAATTGCTGAGTTATATGGCAAGTCTATGTTTAACCTTTTGAGTAACTGCGGAGCATTAAAAAATGGCTGAAATGTGTTCTGTATCACATTCTCAATTTTATTTTTTTTAGAGACAGGATCTCACTCTGTCACCCAGGCTGTGTAATCTTAAGCTTTAGCTCACTGCAGCCTTAAACTCCTAGGTTCAAGCGATCCTCTCACCTCAGCCTCCAGAATAGCTGGGGCTACAGGCACATGCCATTATGCCCAGCTAATTTTTTATAGAGATGAAGGTCTTGCAACGTTCCCCAGGCTTTTCTTCTGGCCTCAAGCAATACTCTCACTCCAGCCTTCCAAAGTGCTGGGATTACAGGCATGAGCCACCATACCCACCCAATTTCATCCTTTTGTATGTAGATACCTCAGTTGTCTCAGAACCATTTGTTTGAGAGAGTATTCTTTTTCTCTTTAATTGT